TCATGTGTCATGTTCAACTTAACATCAATCAACAAGATGAAAAACTTCTCTACAAAATATCTTTGGGTGACATTATTTTTTTTTAGTTTCCATCAAGTTGACTATGACTCATAGTGACCCTATGAACAACAGATTAAAGCCTTGCCGTATCCTGTGCCATCCGCACAATCTCCATCATGCTCAAGTTCATTACTTCAGTTACTGTGTCAATTCATAGTCTTGAGGATTTATCTTTCACTGACTTGCTACATTTCTAGTTATGATGACCTTATCTATGGACCGGCGCCCCTGATCACATGCCAAGGTGTACAAAAATATCAGTTATTCTGGTCAATTTGGAACTGACTCATAGCTAATAGTCTAGCATGTTTGCAGAAGCTGTAAATCTTATGGATGAAGGTTGCTCATCTTTCCCCAACAGATTCCCTGGTGGATTCAAACTAGCAGAGCAGTGCCACCTTTGGGTTGCCTGGACAACCCCCCCTGTGAACTTTGTCTGCCACAAGAAAGTGGTAAGCAACTGATGACATCATAGTAGAAAGAAAGAAAACAAACAAAAAACAAAACGAAACAAAAAAAAAACACCAAAAAAGAAACAACAAACAAAAAACAGAGAAGGGGAGGAAATCAGACATGAATTATTCAAGATCTTCAGAACTGGGCTAAATTTAAAATCATTGATTAACATTAGTTATGCCATTTTCTGTTGCATTAATTAAATCAACCACAACTGATTTTTAATGTTGTTGATTGTCATCAAACTGGAACCAACTTATAAATGACCTTCTAGCTGGTTTGCAAAGAATGGAAATTTTACGTGAGAAGGTTTCCCCTCTCTTTTGTGGAGCAGCTGGTGGATTATAAGTGCCTGTCAGAGTTGGCAGGGCAACTTTCTATCCACTAGGTCACCAGAGCTCCCAGATTTGTGGTATTAAACCTAAAGGGAGCTCTGGTAGCCTACTGGGTAAAGAGTTGTGCTGCCAACCCACAAGCAGGCAGTTCAAATGCCCCAAATCCTCTGTGTGAGAAAGATAAACTATCTCCTTTTAAGTAATTTATAGCCTCTGAAAACTTAGCTACAGGGTCAGGTGAGGGACTTCTGACATAAGAGCTTATAACAGCACCACAACAGTAAGCTAAGGTTGGAAATTCAAATCTATTCAGCAAGCATTGATGAAGAAAGGCCTGGGAATCAATTCTAGTATTATAAACTCTTCTAGTTTCTAAACATGGAGTTGCAATGAATCACAATCCACTAATGCTGATGAGTTTCAACAAAAAACAAACTCATAGTCATCAAGTTGATTCCAATTTATGGTGTCCCTTCATTGGATTTGTGAGGCTGTAAACTTTTCACAGGAGACTTAACATCTTTTTTCCACTAGAGCAACTGAGCTGGTGCACTCAAATGGCTGAAATTTCAGTTAGCAGCCTAACATGTAAGGTACTATATCACCAAAGGCACAATGATTTTTTGAACACACACACAAAAAAATCACTCAGTAGATCTGACAAATCTGAGAATAAATATCATGATAATTAGTGTTATAATTTTATATTTCTATTATATATAATGCTTAATCCTTTCTGCCAATCACTAAGGTCAAATCACTGACCATGGAAACATTCCTGTACCTAGGAAAGTAGTTTACAAAGCTAACACTAAAATCAAGAATGTTTATGAATATGCAAACAGAAAGAAAAAGCTAAAAATTAAAATAAAGAATACACATCAATGCACAGTAATAAGATCAACAGTTAAATCCTGTTTTAAGGAACAAATGTTATGCTGAGTGAACTAACTCAGTCCCACAAGGATAAATATTGTATAAAACCATTATTATAGAATGAGAATAAGGATCATCCAGTAGGGGTGGGAGAAGCTGGAAGCAGAGGGATACGGATGTGCAGGGGGAGAACAGGAAATATCATTGGATTATACAATTAGATGGATGGGCGTAAGGACAATTGAAAGAATTTTTTGGAATTTGTATTCGAGTTTTATAAATAAGTTAGAGAAAAAATTTCTTTTATATAATAGATTAATCAAAGATAGGTAGAATATAGAAAATATAGAAAAAAATCTGTTACTTTATTTGTTCTCCCATGAGTTTATTGACCTAAATCACTTAACATATTAGAAGTAAAGAAGAATCATGTATTTCATAGAGTCTTAAGAGTAGCAAGTTTAAATTAAAAAAAAAAAGAAATGAAACAAAAAATATATATTCAAGGTCCACCCAAGAGTTTTAAAGAAAAGAGAGCATAATATTACATTAAGAAAGTTTATAACACATCTAATTTATGTACTTGAAGTACATGTTGTTGTTGTTGTTATGTGCCGCTGAGTCGTTTCCGACTCATAGCGACCCTATGCACAACAGCCCTAAACCCTGCTTTATCCTGCGCCAACTGCACCGCCTCTGACACACCCATCCCGATTACCCCAGTCACCTTACATAGGGTATCATAAATTAATATTTCAGAGACTTTCACCTTAATGTTTTCTCACAGGAAAAAAGAGAGAGAGAAAGAACATAAGTATATACAGATTTAGCTTTTCAAAGGCTTCCAAGAGTGTAATGATGGATTTAGCAACCAAGGGGGTTAAAGAATAAACTCACCAGGAATGAAAAAAGAGGGCTAATATACTTGAGATGAAGATAAATATAACAGAAGGATAAATCTAATCCAAATAATCCCCTATGCTTTATGAGGAAAGCAATCATGTAATTTCAAGATAGTCATGGAAGCTGCAGTATTTCATTATGAATGCTGCCCATGAACACATATTATGAGGTGAAGCAGATAGCCATTCAGAAGAGTTAAAATGATACTTCAATGCAGAGAGAAGGTGAAAAAACAGCAACAACAACAAAAAATTCTCAAAGTTTTAAGTATCAAATTTTAGTTTCTTTGATGATTAAAAGAAAGAAAAAGTTTCCAGAGATTAACTTCATTTAAACAGAGAACTACACTAGTTGAACAATATCACTAATATTACACGCAAGAAAGATCCTATTGAAGATTACTGAAGAATGACTGGAACAGTACACTGACAGACAGCTGCCAGATATACAAGCTGGGTTTAGAGTAGACAATGTTGGAGGGTTCTTGGCTGAGAGTACAGAGTACCAGAGAAATGTCTCTGTTTCATTTCTGCAAAGATATTTGATTGTGTGGATCACAACAAATTGTGGCTAACCTTAAGAAGAATGGGAATTTGAGAACCCTTAATAATGCTTAAGTAAAATCCATGCTTAGACTAGGAGGCAGTGGTCAGAACAGAACAAGAAATCACTGGATGGTTCAAACCCAGGAAAGGAGTATGTCAGGTATGCATCCTATCTCCATACTTTTTCAATCTATATGTGGAACATATCATCTGGGAGGCAGGACTTTATGACAAGTAATATGATATCATGATTGGAGGAAGATTCAAAAACAATCTGCTTTATGCAGATGACACAACCTTGTTTGCTGAAACTTATGAGAACCTGAAGCATTTGCTGAAGAGGGTCAAAGACCACAGTCTTCAATACAGAGTGGAGTTCAACATCTAGATAACAAAGATTCTGACCTCTGGGCCACTTGGCAGCATCATTATAGACAGAGAAGAGATTGAGATTGTTAACAATTTCAGCTTGCTTTGTTCCACAATCAACATTCTTGGCATTAGCAGTCAGGAAATCAAGACAAATTGCATTTGGAAAATATACTGTAAGGGACCTCTCCAGAATGCGGAAGAACATGGATGTCATTCTGGAGACTAAGATGCACCTGATCCAAACTGTGGTCTTTACAATTACTTGGTTTGCATCAGAGAACTGGACAATGACTAAGGATGATGGAAGAAGAAGAATCTGCTCCTTTGAGTTATGGTGCTGGAGTACTGTACATACCATGGATTGTCAAGAGAACAAACAGATCTGTCCTGGAGACGGTGAAATTAAGCTGCTCTTTGGAGGTAAGGATTGTGAAGCTCCATCTCACATATTTTGGACATGTTGCCAGGAAGGACTGGTCCTTGACATCATGCTTATAAAAGTGGAGGGACAGTGCAGGAGAGGAAGACCCTGAATGAGATGGATTGGCATAGCAACTGGTTTAATGGGATTAAGTGTGTCTGGGACAGTGATATTGTGTTCAAAACTGTTGCACATAGGGTCACTATGGCATACAGCAACAATATCATCTTCTAATTTGTTACAAGTGGCATGGCATTGGATACTTGAAACCAAAACTACTTGTTATTATGATGTTAATTCCTATCTATGAAGACCCCATATGTGTCAAAGTAAATATACTTCATGTGATTTCCAACAGTTAGGACTTAATACAATTATACTGGTAGACTTTCTTCCATGGCATCACTTTTAAATTAGTAGCCTACTATCCATTGTTTTGCTACCCAAAGCCCTTAAAAGCTAATCAAAGTGAACTAACAGAAGGGGAATCATAGGAGGAACATGTTACATGTCTCTGTTTTACTTAGCATATGATACTCTGACTTTCACAGAGGACCACATACTAAGTATAAGTCATGAAATGGTAAACTAGTGTTCCAGAAGAACATTTTCTTATATTCACTACATAATTACCTTAAGAACTATTGCTCAGAACTGCTTTCATAACTTATATGTATTCTCCACATTATATACTGAATGATGAAAATATTTCAAATTATGCTTTCCTTGTCCTAAAATCTGTTTGCAAAATATACAACTTCACTGTTATATTCAACTCAATTGTATTCTCTTAACAATATCACTTCAGATGTGTTTATGTATTCTTTTCTATTTAACTCACTGTGCAATTTGCTCCATAGCATAAACAGTGTACTTAAGTATATTGGGATATATGATAAACTAAAAAACAATCTAATTTCTTACAGCAGAAAGACAAAAGAAACCAAAGGCTAATGCCTCAAGAAAAAAAAAAACACCCTGATGTAAGCAAATAAGTAGAAATGTTCCAGCATATCTACTTAGACATCCTACCTGGTTCATATTTGCAGATATAATTGTGCTTCATATTGCATCTGTCATCATTCCACTGGTAAAGGTAGGGACCTCCAAGTCCAGGATTGGCAGTTGGTTGATGATACATAACAACACACTTTTCACTTCCACAGGAAGGTTCATCAGTATACCAGTTTCTGTAAATGTATAGGAATAGAAATATTTAGACAAATGCCATCAAACGAAACTTTCCTTTCTATTTAAGAGTCTCCAATTGTACTAGAACTTCCCTATGCCTTTTATCAAGTCTCCTAGCTAGCCAGTAACCATTAACTCTATTTTGACTCTTCACAACCCCACACCTATCACAGCAGAACTGTGTTGTATAGCATATTAATTGGCTGATTTTTCAAGAGTGGGTTTGCCAGACATTCTAACAGGGTATCTTTGGACAGACTGGAACAGCCAATATTCAGCTACCAGCTACACATATCTGTGCCACTGATGAGTTTGATATACCCATTCAACTTCATAGGATCTGTACTTACCGATACTGGGAATGGCTGTTGTCAGACCACTGGTAGAGATCTGGGCAGGTACCTGATGCTTGCCCATCTCCATTTCTCCAGAGTCCTATCCAGAAATCACCATCAGAAATTCCTGTTCCTGGTTTTGTGAGGTTCTGTAACAAACTTTCTATCAGCTTCTGTTCTGCTTCGTTCTCCAAACTGAGAAGGGCTCCTCCCTCACTCTCACAAGCTAGGCGTGCCTCCTGAAAGCTCACTCGACTTGACAGCTCATGGAAATAGGCCATTTTGTAGCAGGGATGCGTCAAATCAGCAAAGCATACCTTTTGCCCTGCAAAGAAGATGCCAGTAAGTACATTGTGTAAATTATATTCATAATCCTACTAAAAATCAGGATTAGAAAGCAGTCAAAAGAGGCTATTCTCTATTGAAAACAATTCTCCTCTTATGCCATATTAGCAAATTAGTAATACAAATTTTTAAACACAGGATCACAAGGAAATAATTTGTTAAAGACAATCTGCTTATTCTAGCTTAGATTTTAAAAAAAATTGTTACCATAGCAAGTGGAGGTAGCTAAAGATGGTTCCGGTGTATCCATTGTTAAATTGACTAAAACATCAAAGGTTGATGAGAATAAAGAAATTTCACCATTAAGCATACTTGTTTTTGTTGCTATGTACCATGGAGTCACAACTAATCTATGGAAAACTAATCTATTGAGTTGTGCTGCCAATCCAAAGGCATGTGGTTCAAATCCACCTGCTGTTTTGTTGGAGAAATATGATAAATCTCCTCCCATGAGATTTACTGCCTCAGAAAACCCAGTGGAGGTCATTTATGAATCAGTTCTGACTTGATAGCACATAACAACAACATGACATATTTAGTGCTCTTCTCCAATACAGGAATTCAAAGGTATAAATTCTTCTTTATCTTCTTCATTATCCAACTTCCAGATGCACAGGAAGCTTGGATAAGATGTACTTTAAACTGGCATCATTGTTCTGTAGCATTTTCAAGGGTTGCTTGACAGTAGATTTCCCCTGTGCGACATATCTTTTAATTTCTTCACTAATGTTGTTTATAGCTTGGAAGGAAGAGTGGCATCCACTTCCATAATAGCTTGCCTCCGGAAACTCTATGAACCTGGAGAGAGGATGAAAGGCACCCAAGCGTCAAGGACTCTCCTTCGTAGGGTCGCTATGAGTTGCCTGAGACTCAATGGCACTTAACAACAACGTTGTTTGCGGATACAAGTAAAATGAAATCAGTAAAAATGTCAATATATTTTACAACTATCATGATGTTCCCTATTGATCCAAAGATGAGGATTTTTAGCTTCTTGATATTGAAATGTAATCCGTACAGTCATTGATGTTCTTCAAGAAGTTCTTCAAGCTCTCTTTTCTTTCTTCAGGTAAGGTTGTGTGTCATCTGATGAGTGTCTTCCAATCCTGATGGTACATCCTTCTTCATATTTATCCCAGTACCTTTAATGATTTACTCGGAATACAGATTGAATATGTCGGAGAAGGGACACAATTCTAACACACACCTTTCCTAATTTTAAACTATACAATGTTTCCTTAATCTGTTGCAACAACTAGAGTACATTTTATCATTTTTAAAAAGTTCTATCAATTCTCTGAATAATTTATAATTTTACAGAAGATTGTATGTGAATTCTAATCTTCTAAGTCAATGTAGCCTCTCTTTTCATGCTAAGATCTCAGAAAAAGGAAATAAAAATTCAGTAAATGTATGAACACATCCACAGGCCCACTCAGAAATGCATTTCAAATATGAGCAGAAAAAACCTTGATCTGATGCTTAGAAGCAACCAGATGAAATTTTGTCTTAATGATACCAAGCATATGGTTCTGCATGTAATTATTATTATTCTGCATGTAATATTATTTATATATTTTACAGTGTATAGAATTTAGCTAACTCCAGCAGCAGAGGAATTTTTCTTTTCCTCCCACTTACATCTTTCCCCTGTAACCATCAATTACACATGCAGTATTTTGTAGAGAGTGTCCAGATTGGTATTGTCTTGCTTTTCATGATCATCTCTTTGTATTCACCTCTGGTCTCTGCTTTCAATCTTTTCAGTGCTCACAGAACCCATCTCTATCACTATTCTGTTTTTTGTGGGTTTTTTTTTCTGTTTTTTTAAAAATATTGACCAAAGACATTTATTTATGCTGCAAATAAAGACGTCTGTAATGTACATTTGTCAAATACATTTGCACATAAAGTAATGTTCCAGTGGATGATATCTTCTCTGGGAAAATAAAAAACTCTAATCTGCAGTGTGCCAAAATTCATAGTATAAATAATCCCAAAACAGCCATTTCAAGCTGTCATCTATCACTATTCTTGCTGTCCATACCCTCCACTACTTCCTTATTCTTTCTCGAGTTTAGCCTCAATTGATCCTTGGAAAACAGACTATTAACTATGGTATGTAAAAATGAAGTCATTTTTCTTTAGGTTAAGAAATTAAGGCTTGAGTTTACTGTTTCTTTAAATTCATATGCCTGAATATCACTCTTGTGAGACGTGAAGATCTTTTTAAGTGTTTTAAATTTTGCAGACAATCAAGAAAGTTGTCAATGTATAGAATATCATTGTACTTACACACTGGTTGAAATCAAGTATTTATTTTACATTTTGTACTCTGAATTTCAGTTTATCACACTGTGGACCAGCAATGGTATCATATCCACCACCAGGACTCTGCCTTGACCATCAACAATTAGTGACTCATGATGACTCTTAAAGGCAAGCAAGAACAGGAAACAGCAGAAGTCCATTAACCTCACACCAGATTTCAGTGATAGATATTTAGTATTTTAACACAAGAAGAAATAAGTCAACTAATAAAACAGCAGTTCCAACAATGCGAACCGGCCCATCAGTTGTTCACTCTGTCTCACTAATTGTGATTTGGACCCAGGAGAAACACATGGAGTTCCATGAATGAATCCAAAGACTATCCAAAGCTGTTTATTAATATGCTAATATGCATGATACATTAAAAAACTGATCACAGGGAACTGAAGTCAAAGAGAAACAAAAATCCTTTAATAATTAGCCATGAAGTTCCCAGTTGACTTTAAGATAAATAATTTCATCTTTTTCTTTTTTTCTAATGTTTTCTTGAGTTTTGTTTCTTTTTAGATCATTTTATTATTTAAAAGAGAAATAGTTTTTCTTGGTAATAATCTAATAATCATTGAGTCTAGAAGATTTATACCTTTATTTTTAAAGCAAGCTTTGTTTTTATTTTCATTAACTAAATCTAGTTCATAATTCTAAGTCTCCAAATATATCTTAACTATGTTCCCTAGGGTTTTAAGTTTGTTCAGTCTTTCACTCCCAGAACTTCCAGCATTGAATAGATCAAAACACTTTTTTTTAAATGCTAACCTTTTCACATATCTATAAAACAGAATAGCTGACGTTTGAATGAGTAATGATTATTGCTATATAACGAAGCTAGTGCACATCCAGAGAATGTTGTTATAACCATGACTATGTACAATATAATGTACAACTATGTACAATAGCTCTGAACCTTGCTCTATCCTGAGCCAAGCTTGTCTCTGACACATCTACCTTCATTACTCATTACTGTGTCAATCCATCTCACCCAGGGCTTTTCTCTTCTGTGCTGTCCCCCCACCCTTCCAAATATGATGTGCTTCTCTAAGAACTGGTGCCTCCTGGCAACATGTCTAAATTATAGGAGACAGAGCTTCAAAATTCTTGCCTCAGTGAAGCACCTCGGCTTCACTCTTTCCAGGATAGACTTGTTAGTTCTCTTTGCAGTCCATGGTACGTTCTATGATCTTTCCCAGAACCACAATCCAAAGGTATCAATTCTTTTTCTGTCACTTTAGTCATGTTCCAGCTCTCTAATAGATAACAAGTAATTGCCAAGATGGTTGCCTGGATCAGGTTCACTTTAGCCTCCAGACTGACATCTCTGATTACTGATCTTTAACATTCTGGTCATTATTGTTGTTAAGTGCTGTTGAGTCACAGGCGACACACAGCAACCCTGTGAAGGAGAGTCCTCAACACTTGGGTGTCTCTCATCCTCTCTCCAGGTTCATAGGGTTTCTGGAGGCAAACTATTATGGAAGTAGATGCCACTCCTCATGCCAAGCTTGTTTTAATCGGGGAGCTCCACCCCACTCTCTATCCACATTGGGTAACCAGCCGTTAATACATTTGACACATCAGTGTCACAGTGTTCAGCCTCACAGCAACCACGTTACTGCTGTACGGCAACTTGTACACCAGGACTATATGACCTAGAGGAATATCTGAACAAAAACAATGAAAGCCTGTCCCGAAGGCCGCAGGCCAAAGGCTTTTCAGGGTTTAAGCAAGCCGGCATGCCCAAATGCTGGCAAAGTCCTTCTACCAGACCCCCATTTCATCTGGCATGTCCGCTCTGCCAACCCCCACGTAGGGCCCAAGGAACACCAAAATTGCCCTGAACCCTCAAACTCAAACCTGCGGTGCCTCCAGGAGCTAGAGTCCGGATTCAGCTGACCTAAGTCTCTTCCAAGATCCTAGGTGGGACACCACTGGACCAAATGGCACAATCAGGATGGATGGTGAAGAGATTGAGACTGTTCACAGCTTTAGTTTGCTTGACTCCACAGTCAACATTCTTGGCACCAGTAGCCAGGAAATTAAAAGGAGCATTGCCATGGGAAAGTCTGCTGTTAAGGACCTCTCCAAAATACTGAAGAGCAATGGTGTCTCTCTGGAGACTAAGATGCATCTGATACAGGCCATGGTCTTTGCTATCACTTGTTATCCATCAGAGAGTTGGACAGTGACTAAGAAGAGAAGGAGAATCGATGCCTTTTAGCTGTTGTGCTGGAGAAGACTATTGAGGGCACCATGGACTGCTGAGAAAACAGATTCATCCTGGAAAGTGTTGAACAGGGCATCTCCTTGGAGGCAAGGATTCTGAGGCTCCGTCTAACATACTTTGGACATGTTGTAAGGAAAGACCGGTCCTCGGAGAGGGACATCATGCTTGGTAGGGTGGAGAGACAGCACAGGAAAGGAAGGCCCTATATGAGGTGGATTGATTCAGTGACTGGTGTAATCGGAATGGGAATGTCAGAGACAGTGCGATTGGCACAGGACAGAGCAGAGTTTAGGGCTGTTGTACATAGGGTCACTATGAGTTGCAAGTGACTCAACGGCACATAACAACAACAACAACAGTACTCAGCAATATCCTTGCAAAGGGACATCATGCCTGGAAAGGTGGAGAGTCAGTGAAAGAGTAGAAAC